ACAAACAAAAATTGAAAACATACCTTGAGTGATAAGTGGGGCCCTGGAGGAACATCTCTTCAGCCTCCTGCCAAGACAAGCCCTGCAGCTCGCAAAGGCCATGAATGATGGCCTGTACAAATAAACCAATTAATAAAATAAAACATGCACACACTGCAGAACATAAACATGCTCATGTTCAAACATGTTTTGGGCTTACCTCTGGGAGGAGACATCCACAAATGAACTCCACCTCATCATTGTAGGTCAGCTGCGTTTGGGTTTTATTAAGAACTCCTTTCATGTAGTTATAAAGGATTGTCAGGGACTGCTCATTCTCAATGTAGACAGGCACTTGAAAACGGGGTTTTAGTGGAAACCACTTTGACCTTTTTCCACTGAGTATATCCTTTGGGCCATAGAAGGAAATTATATTTCATATGTAAATGCACAAGTCATTAATTACATTTGGCAAATAATAGTTAAATTGTCACTTGACTATATTTAAGTTGACCATAATCAGAGTCTGGAGGAGTAATTTAAAGTGGAACCATCATTACCACCAAATGCTGCTCTGCTGATTTTGATGTGAGAATTAAGTCCACTAATCTTTTTTCATTCCTGTCTCGATCTTGAACTGCTTGGACATGTGCCGGAAGATTGGATGTGGTTCTTCTTTCCACCCTAAAAAGGGGCAGAGTCTTTCCCTCCAATACACTTCTTGCCTCCTCAGTCCAGAAAGCAAATCTGCACCCATAGCTTTCAAGCAAGACAAAATCCATAATAATTGGTCACAGGTAAGAGAGATATTAAGGATGTTTTGTTACTCGTGTTCTAAGTTGTTGTATTGACACAATATCAAATAGAAATTTGACAGATTTAAAAGATCAAAATTTTAAAAATACTGACATACCCATCAATTTGAAATCGTTCCATGAGTAGAAGGCACCACCATCGGCGGATGACAGGCATATCCATCTGAAAGAAAGACTGTTTAGTCTAACAGTTAACCAACATGTTTTTGTTAATACATGATGTTGGGTGTGCTTGCAACAACCATACCCCTTTTTGAAAGAAATGTTGCTTAGAGTAAAGCAAGATAAAATACACCACCACCTGAGTTACATTTTTAGCTATGATAAATAAAAGCACCATCCTGACAAGAAAAACAGCCTGGTAAAATAAAGGTTACATAAAAAAAATAATTACCTCCTGGAATTGAAACCCAATGTCACACACCATTGAGAGGGTGTACTGGAAAGAGAGAAGACACAGTCATTTATGATGTTTACAAAAGCTTTAAATCAATTAACTCAACAATTTGAAATCTTACCATGAGTACAAAAACACCACAATCATTCCCTCTTGTCTGACGTGGCAAAGCCTAAAATCAGTAAAGCAAACAATTTTATTTTAGAATAATGTACAAAAAATGTAACTGTTGTAAAAGCTAAATAATGACAATTCTTTAAGTTGATTTCTCACCGGAAAATCATATCCAGTCTTTTCAGTCCATGTCCCATGATCAACTTGGTAAGAAATTTGCCTGTAGACAAAACATATTAGCAGTAATATTGACAATAACAGCTCACCTCAACTCTAGAACACCATGCATAAAAAAGGCTAGATGAACATAGCCAGAAGTGCAAGAAACGGCTATAGGAACGTAGCCAAAAGTGACAGCACTATAACACACGGTTAGGAAATGGATAGAAATGGCTATAGGAACGTAGCCATATATCAGATAAAGGCTGAAACATGTCTTAGTTTATTGATAGACCTAAAAATTGCCCTGTATTCCTCATCTCCAAATCCTGATTCATGCTCTGCGTACAGAGAGTCTAAAAACACCATCTCTCTTCGAAGCGGCATCATTATCTACAATGTTAAAGGTGTAAAAATATTTCATTTGAACCTTATTGCTTCTTCCAAGATTTTTCAGTGTTTAATTTTAGAAACACACATTGCAATAGCAATCAACATATGCACTAGACATTTCAATATTTTCTTACACAGACAACGAAGTGGTCTGGTCCATTAGCATTTGTCCATGCTGGAAAGACTAACAGGTCTTTCAGGTCTGCATCTTCCTAGAATAGATCAGGACAGTTATGTCCTTTAATTTAGTTTTTACCTCCCACACAGTAAATACAGTACATACACTCACCGGTAATCCAGTAACAATGTTGTTAGGAGTTCTTTTCCATACAGGGACAACATAAAAGTCCTCAATGTATATGTCCTTGCCCTACAGGAATGAAAACAAACTGTTGACAATGGCATGAACATTTTCACACAGTTTAGAACTATGTTTTTTTTTTTCTAAATTTGGATCAAGTTAAAACATAATCTATATAAATATTATAACCAGTTGAATGTTACATTTTATGGTTCATACAATTTGCCGAGCCATTTCACGAATAAGCTCCATGCAGGCGTTTCCAATCTGCAATAAATACTCCGATAAGTCAATGTGTTTAATTAAAAAAAAAGATAATAAAAAACAGACTGCTTACATGGGAGTCCATGTCCCTCAACAATCCAAAGCTCCAAAATTCTTCTCGGATAAGGCACACTTGCCCCTCCTTCACAATTATTTCACTGCCAGGGCGATTTCGGTCCAGCACATAATCAAGCTGTAATAATAATAACAATAAATATGTGTGTGTGTCTAATGTTAATTTTTCACCAGTTTCTCTTGTAATGGATGCCAGTCCCTCTCCCAAGGCTTTGTAGGTTCCAAAAAATGCAGAAGAGTGGTTCACAAGCTGTTTTTTCTGTAATTGGAACTGATGACTGAGGAGATGTGACTGATGTTATGGCTGGTGATGCAGCGGTCGTTTGTGCAGTCACAATATTTTCTGGCAGTGCTGTCAGTGGTCCTTAAAGTACATTAAAGCACCAAAATTAGAAAATAACACATCATAACCAGAGAACAGAAACTTGACATTTAGCAACTGGACCGAACAGTCAAATTACCAAGTGACATGTCCATGCATTTCTCTGTGGAGAACGGATTTTCTATAAAATACAAATATACACATAAGTACAGTTAAGGATATAGTGCTGTATTTGTTACACAAATGTGAGTAAGGGAAAGATTACCTAACACAACCTGGCTGTGGACATTCATGTGAATGTTTGTGTTGAATTCCTTTTTTATGTCATGAAGACGTTTCTAATTTTTTCTGACATTGTAATGGTGGATGATGTTTCGCATGAGGAAAACATGTGTGGATGGCAAAGCTATGTTCATAAAGTAGTTATTTTTCTTTAGCTTTGAAAAAAGCTGTTCTGCAGCCTGACTGTTAACTTTGCCAGCTAGTTGAGGCGCAAGACGAAGCTTCCTCAGTGAATCACGAGGGTCTTTTGTGTTGTCTTCGTGAAAGCGGTCATACAGAACATAGTGTTCTGCAGAACCAGTTATTGGATGACCATCTGGATCTGGACTTTGCTTTTTTGCAGTGAGCCACGGCAGTGTAACCTGTAGGTTTCCTGATTTTGCTTTTGTAATATTTTCAGGGGTTGGTTCGAGTAACCTTCCTTCGAAAGGTGTGAAAGTTATGGGTTGCCTCAGGTTTGTGTGGGTGGACAGTCCACGGGCAAAGTCGTATATTACAATATTAGGCAGATGCCTCCAAGACAGAAGCATATCTGCAAAATCCTGTGGACTTTCTGCTCGCAGATTACATTTTATACTGTACACTATGCCACAAGGGCACATGATGACAGCCCAACCTCCTGGAACAGACAAACATACAACAAAGATAAGCAAATTGTTAAAAACACTTTTTCTAATCCCATGAATGACACTGGGCCCTACAATGATCATAGGTTATGACGGAGGGCAGTGGCGTTGACCTTAACAACGTAGACGTTGAGAAACTGAACTGGGGCTGAAAAAACTTTAAAGATGCAGCGCTTCAGAGTAAGTTTTTAGCGTCTCTGCTCTGAGCAAATCACAGCGCTCTCCCTTCTCACTCACTTTTCCTCCACTTTCCCCGCGGTGTGAGAAGAATGTTTTCTTTATAAACTATGTTGTGCCCTGTCCTGACCTGTGGTCCCCTGGACCTCACCCCTCACCTGTATGGATGTGCCTTCACCCTGCCCCTACTACATCCAATCAATTCAACTTTGGGAAAGCCCTCCGAGGCGACTTTGTTATAATATTGGGCTATACAAATAAAAATTGAATGATATAATCAGTGTGCCCTACATTACATCATATTTCATGTTATTTTTTATTCATATTTCATTTATAATCATTTTATGGATTTATTTAGACAATGAGTACACCCATTATACCATGAATTTCATACTGCACATTTGTTTGCCGTAATTTTGTCCAAGACAAAGAGCAATGATTTAAACACTGCTTTTGGATGAACCCACAAAGTGGCATGGATGTAGTAACAGCAAAAGAGAACAAAGTGTGGTGAGAAGAGGGGGGAGGCGGGAGAAGAAGACAGTGAGGAGAGGACAGGTCTTTCCGTCTCCAGGTCAGAGGTACACACACTGCTTCTGCTGCTAAAAGAGGATGCATACTGGAATGGCTTTCAAAAGATCAGCAGCTGCCTCTACCTAATGAGTTTAATATTGTATACACACTGACATGTGCCATAATAATGTCTTTATAGCAGCCTATTATTTAACGAACGTGTAAATATTAATGCATGGACTGATTCATTAGCAGATGTGCATACGTTGATTAGGCTTGCACTTGCATCACATCCAATGCACCTCCCTCACACGGAGGCCACAACACACCCCAGTGTCAGACCAGGCCGCCTCCAACAACCCCCAGAGCTGTACGCCACCAGTCACTCCCCAACCAGTGCCAAGCGGAAAATAGGGCCCATTATGGCTATGTGACTTTGCACATTTCGGAATTATTCGTAATATTTCAATGTGCAACATTGAGGTTTACCTGAAGCAGCCCAAATCTTTTCAAAAACCTTGTCATAGGCCTCCTTTGACCTCATCTCCTCCGAAAGTCGCAGGAGTAGATCTGTGCGAGAGCCTTTGGCATCTAAACCACACTCTTGACACAGTCTTCTTATCACTTCCACCTATCACATAAAGTACATGTGTGAAATAAAATGCCAACACTGACAAATAGTACAAAATTAGCAAGAAATATTTTACTTTCTGTTTCGAAAGTTCGTCTTTTAAGCGATCTTCAGAGACAGTTATTTCTGTCCGGTCTGCAGTTTTAGCTTTGTGCACTTTCTCAAATTCAGTGTTGAGAACAACATTCGCTCTGCGCGTCTTACTCCCAATCCAGGGTGCCCAAAAGTTGTAACTAGGTGGAACACAAAATGGGTTGTTTTTTTGGCCTTTGGGACAAACAAACATGTTAGTACATCAAAGAATTTAGATTGTACCCCTGAAAATACTTATGAAATTAAATAATGGTGACATGCTATTTCTGGTATATTCAATTTCCTTACTTGAAAAAAATCCTCGAGCAATCCGTTCTTCTGTCAGTGCCTTCCAAAACAGATCTAAATCCACCTCTCCATTAAAATCTTGTGGAGGTTGTGAAAGGTCACTCACTAAAGAAAATAAATACATACTATAAACCAAAGACTTACCTCTCTGCAACTTATACCCATAAAAGGAATTTACCGGAGAGATGAAAGGATGCCTTCTTGTGGAGGTCCATTATGACCACAGGCGGATGGTCACAAGACACACATGAATACTGATATTCATGGTCAGTTAGGGCCTCAAAGTGGAGATAGCCATGGAGAACAGTATCTGCTGAGGGGAACTGTACACCTGTAGTCACCTCCAAGTACTCCACTACTCTGCTGACTGCTGTATGCACCTATGATAAAGAAACCACACTTAATCAGTACATCTTATTTAAATCAATACTATGAAGAAATCCTATTGTTGGAAAAAATGTATAACGATTACCTGCAACAGGTTTCTTATGGTGAGGCAGAGAGAGAGTTCAAGGAGGACATGGTCATTGAAATTATGTAAACCGTTACCCCACTCTTGGTAACGGTACACCATTCCACAGAGAGGACAGAATTTGTAGTAGGTTGAAATATCTGCAGATACAGAATGTAAAAAAATAACAAAAACAAAAAATGGTTTAGTATTTATTCATAATTAAAATAAAATAAAAGCTGTAACAATGATCCACCTTGGACAATTCCTGTAGTTGTAAGAATTTTCGCTTTACGTGTAATGCAGACAGGATCACTGAGCAATGTGCGGTCTGAGCAGTGGTAGCACATTGTCTCATCAGGGATTAGGTGTTGTGGAAATTCCTTATAGACTGAAGAAAGCCTCAAATGATTGGGAATAGTAGATGGTAGCTTTTTATTCATTAGGATATATTCTACCATGCTCTTTACTTTAGAAACATCCTTTGGAGGGTAAGTCTCACTTTCATCACTTTCCTCCATCGCTGTTGCCTGAAATTCTTCAGCGCTTTCAGTGCTCCGAACCTTTCGGAAAAGTTCAGGGTGCACTTGAAAGAGGTGCCATTTTGCAATGTATTTATGGGTGCATGACCTCAGGGTTTTTGCACAGGGACAGTGCCATAAATTCTTCTTGGTGTCATATGACACCATGACTCTGCCCAGTCTACTATAATATGATATATTAGGCTCGTAGACCGATATGAATCTTTTTGATGGTGGGACTCCAATCTTGGATTCAACTGACAGTGGTGCATTTTCTTCTTGGGCTAGTTTTTGACGATCGACACACTGTTTTATTTTGTCCTGCCCAAACCACTTGCTTTTAACCATTTCTTTTAAACTTTCTTCTGTGAGTGAAGGTGAAGTTAAAAAGGTTTTGCAGTATGAAACTGACCGGAGGTGAACACACTGGTATGACAGCAGTCCACTTCTCCAAGCCAACTCCATATTAGTCTGGCACTCATTTAATTCACATGAAACACGATGTTGCTCCCCCCATATTTTAATTTGCACATGGAGTGGAGTAGAAGCTCCATGAATACTTTTGCGAACCATATAGACTCCATTCTGGGGGTCTATGCACTCACTGTCAAGATGGGATGAGGAAGTAATGTCCGTCATTTTTGGGGTGTGTTTGCGTTCTATATGTCTTTTTAAATTTTTATGGTGGCATATCAAATTACATTTGGGACATTTCTTTAGTTGCTTTGGTTTTTTTCGACCATTTTTTTTGAAGGGCCTAGAAATGCCAGAAGTGGTTGGCAGAGTCGTGGCAGCGGAAGGAGGCACATGAATGGTGGGCAGAGCTGTGGCAGAAGTTGTGGTGGCTTTAGTGTGAGGGGTTGGTGGTTGGTGTTTTTGTTTGCAGAGTCCTAAATGTTTAATAAAATCAGGTTTTCTTAAAATTGTTGATTTGCAGTGATAATGTGGTTGACTTCTGCAGAGGCGTCCACATCTGTGTATTGTAAATTCTGAAAAACAGCAGTATAAGATTGCACTTTAAGTTTGTCTTACAATTTTTATGCGTAACAGACTTTGGCCTCAAATAGAAGCTGCACGCAAACAAGGGAAAAAGGCATTTTTTGTCGGTGCCAAAGCTATAATTGACGGCAAAGAAATCCGTGGATAAAGTATGACTGATGTTGAAGCAGATGATTTAGTTTATTTGAGGTAAAGGTTATCCTTTCTAATAGCTTGAAAGTGAAATGTAACATTACACATTTGTTTTTTATAAGGGTAGTATAACTTAAGCCTTATATTGCTTTATGTATATGTGTATATATGCTGGATAGTATATTATAACTATTTTTTGAGTTATTTGTTTTCTTTTACTTCCAATTTGAAAATGTTGTATAGGCTATTTGATTTCTTTTTGTGACACTCAATTAGGTTATTTACGTGAATGTTGTTCTTGGGTGAATGGAAAACATTTGACTTCGGTAATCTATTAAGAGATTATGTCTTTATGTTTATGTTCGTTCAATGTTAAGGGCATTCGTGATTTGTTGAAGAGAAAAGCTATTTTTTTATTTCTTAAAAGATTTAAGGCTGACTTTTATTTTTTACAGGAAACTCATGCAGTAACGTCTGATTTAGTTTTTTGGAAAAATCAATGGGGTAGTGATATCTGGTTGGCATACGGGAGGAATAAGCCAGCAGGGGTCGGTCG